GGAGCTGCATTTCACCTCCTGTTCTTGTTAGTCTCCAGATATGACTTTTTGCATTTAGTGGGGGAATAATAATTAACACAGTCAGATAAACACAAATAATATTAACATTTTGCCAAATAAAACAAAAAAATCATCATCAGAGTCAGTGGTAATTCACACACAGGTATGCCGAGAGAGGGCTGCTGCAGACGAGCTAATGTTAGCCCTGACTGTGGTCTGACTCGGAGCTCCGCTGGTTGCCATGGTCCTCTCAACATTGGAACTTATTTTTTATGATGCACTAAATCAGTAAATGGGTCATATAGTTAAGCTTGAATGTATAATGTTCTTGCCTCAAATGATCTTAAAACATACTTTTGTAGAACCATAGCAACAGAAAAGTAAACTCTTAACTTAATACTCTGAGTGCTCCCTGGAATCTGCTGCTGCTGCCACAGATGTACTATTAGCTTCAAAAGCTTGGGGTTTATTTTTGCTTTGGATAAACTCATTTGCTGAATCCTTTAAAAATTGTAACCACCTAAATGAAATTTATTATAAACAGTCAATTTTGATTGCTTGAGTGATTGAATTATTGATCGATTGATTGATTGATTACAATTTTCCACCACCACCTCGTTATTGTTAAACCTAAAAAAAATCTGTAAAACAAACACAATTTCCAGGTGAATAAACCTATAGGTATGTATACCCTTAGATATGAATTAATGGAAAATGTCTGAAAAGGGTTGTGAAGAAGTAAAACCTATTATTCATACCCCCTCTCCTTAATATTGCCAATGCCCCTAGAAGTTACAATAAAGTCTTTTTTCTTTTTTTTTTTTTTTATTCCTTCTCGGCATAAGTACAGTTATCCACTGAAGTCCTCGGGGGTTATCTAAAGAATATGAATAAATATGAGTGATGTCACGAAGATCAAAGGTTATTATACCGTATCCCACATCTCACAATTTATCATCTGTGAAAGGAAAGAGTGTGACACCTCTACTCAGAAGTTGGCATCATAAACTGACAGGCTGGACAAGGGGAGCATTTACCAGAGGAGCACTCAAGAGGCCTCTGATGACTCATCACATACCAGGTGGAGGAATCTGTTTACAGGACAGCTAGTAGCCATGCAGTCCACAAATCTGACTTTTATCAAGTGGAAACAACTATTGAGATCCTTAAAGAAAGCATTTTCTTTGTTCAGAATAGATTTCATTTTTGAAGCTTAGGTCATTCAGTATTAGCTGCATTATGTTGCAGATTTTTGTTTGCTGAGAGAAAGGCAATTTATTCTGCAGTGAGCTACATGTCCTGGAGACTGCTCCGTCTCAAGCATCTACAAAGTTCAAGTTAGAAAAATAGTAATAAAATGAAAACCATTGTTGCAAGCTTTAAAACACAATAAATCAATAGCAGGGAGTTTTCAGCCTGAGGATTCCCCGAATTAGGAACAGCACAGAAATATAATTTCATCTACTGAATATACTAAGCTCCTAAATTCTCTAATTTTGTTGCAATCTTGAGGTCTTGTCATTTAGGTTTTCTCTATGACCCAATTTTTAATTAATATTTTGTGATTTATAGTTTTTTCTCATGCTTTTTTCTTTATTTAGATTCTTATATCAGTGCCGGTCTTTTACTTCATGCTTGAGTAATTTTATTGGTCTCTTACTGTATCTCTGCTGCTTCTCATTCTCTTGATGACTTTCAACTAGTTCGTGTCACTTAATCAACAACCCTGCTGTATTTAGCCAACAAAGTTTAATTTCTGCAAACTCTTCAGTCAGCAAACCCCCAGAAAAACAATGTGGTGGTAACTTCATGCTATGGAGTTGTATATTTTAGTAGGGACAGAAAGGCTGGTCAAAGTTGACCATAGAGATTAGCTCCATAAATAATCGGAAAATAAACAAGATGCATTGAAGTGTGTAAGCACAACAAAGCAAGCTACATGTAGGTTACGCATGTGACATTTCATTCTAAACAATTAGATTATATTCACTAGACACCTAGGAGATCAGGGCACTAAAGGGCGCTAAATCAGGTTTCGGTTCTTATTTCAGATATGTATTTTACGCTCCTGTTTAGCAGGGAAGAAACAGGAAAACAACATCCATTGTCATAGATCTTCCCATAACACCTCATCATCTAGCAGAAGGTAGGTTAAGGTGTGCCTCCTGCTTAATGCTCTTTTTACAAAACAATATACAAAGCCTTAAGTGGTTCTTTTTATAGTTGTAACAAATAAAACGTGATTTTTAACTAGATGGTAAAGACACAGGCTTTTAATTTACCAAAAGATAGGACATACTTTTTTATGTATGTAATACACTGCACTGGAAAAAAAAACTAAATTTAGATAAGTAATTCTTTCTTAAAATAAGTGCATTTGTTCTTGGATTGAGGAGGTAAAAGAGACATTTTGTCAATCTGAACAAGACAATTTACACTTATAATAAGAAACCAGAATTGGATTGTCTTATTTCAAGTGCATATTATCTAATTATCTTATTTTAAGATTAAAAATACTCATTCCATTGGTAGATCATCTTATTTACCTACTCAAATTAAGGGTAAATACACTTTTTTCTAGGTCGTTTTACCAGCGTGATTAAATTACCTACCCACATAGCAAAAATCCATTTCCACTTAAAATCCTGTTGCTAAACATGTTGGTTGGAAGGTTCTTTTAAAGAATCTAATGTAAATTTCCATTTTTATAAATAGACATGTAAGCCGCCACCAGATGTCATAAACACTGTAAACCTGCCAGGTGTATTTACATCTTAGCTGTTAAAGACGGTTCTGGAAATATTAAACAAATGGGTTTGAATATAATTGCAAACCTGCTTTTGATGGCATGCAAAATTTGAAAACCATGTATAACATTTCCTTACACTTTACAGTTATCCACTACCAGTGTTGGGCACGTTACTTTGAAAAAGTAATTAGTTATAGTTACTTGTTACTTCTCCCAAAAAGTAACTGAGTTACTAACTGAGTTACTCCACAATAAAAGTAACTAGTTACTAGTAAAAGTAACTATTGCGTTACTTTTGCGTTTCTCGCCCCCGTAACCCTCACCACCCAGCCCCCACCTTCTCGCGGTGTGTTTCCAAAGCCAGCTGAATAGAGCGGACAACAAAGACAAGGACCTGCAGAGAGTTCAGCATTTATTGCAACTCAACGTAAATGACATCAGGGGGGAACGCCATGTGAAGTTTTTTAACAGGGCATTTAGATCTGGTGAAATTAATAACTGGGGATGTCTAATTCTGAAATCCTGTGTGTTTGGGTTGTTATAGATACTGCAACATCTATCTATCTATCTATCATCTATCTATCTATCTATCTATCTATCTATCATCTATCTATCTATCTATCTATCTATATGTATACTCTGTGTGTGACGTAAAATATGGATCTCCATCCCTGCCACAAAGGCCATCAAATAATGTTTACAATAAAAAATACAGTAAGTTGAAAAGGCAGAGTATCCATCCATCCATCCATCCATCCATCCATCCATCCATCCATCCATCCATCCAGATTATGACCTAAAAAATAATCTTTAATATCTCTTAAACAAAAGTAGCACAAACAATATTTTTTTCTGCACAAATCTGCACTAACGTTGCACTAACCATTCAGTCTATTTGCAGCGTTTTTTGACGTGGGGTGTCAGCTTCACGCAGCTGCGCACGAGTCCTATCATGAAAAAAGGTTCATTGTGCGACCTGAGTAACACGCAGTAACGGGGTGTCTGCAATGGTAACTGCGTTATAGTTACAGTCAAAGTAATTAGTTAGATTACTCGTTACTAAAACAAGGTAACGGCGTTAGTAACGCCGTTACTTTCAACGCCGTTAGTCCCATCACTGTCCACTACTTTGTGATGATGAATCAGATAATTTCTCAAAGTTTTTTATTGCAATGTGACAAGATGTTTATGGAGTTTGGATAGTTTTGCAGGTGCTGTATAAATCTGCCGAATTCACCTCAGTTGCTGCAGTAAAACTTCTGCACACATCTTGATTCAGAATAAATGCATTGAAGCCTACAGGGAAGTTCAAAGGTTCCATTTCCATAAAAATGTAATAGATATTTATCTTCATTAACTTTTTACTAAGTTATAGACAAAAAAATATATATATTGTTTCCATGCCAAATCAGTCAGCCTTAGAGATGGTGAGAATTTATTTCAGATAATTTCATTCCAATCAGACCGAGTTTAGTGGAAAGGCAAACACCAGTAAAATGAAGAGGAAGCTTTGTATTTTTTTTCCACTTCTTCGAATATTGAGCAGGAGAGCCGATTTACCACAGAGGCGGATGGAATATAGCCCTTGGTTGTTCCGGAGTCAATACGACCTGCATCCTGCTCCAAAACACACTCTGAGTGATAAATATAGGCATGTTTTATGCCATTTGATGGGCGATCATCTACTCCAAGACCCATGCTCATGAACAACACAGGCAGATGTTTGCCAGTATATCCTGATCAGATAACTGCATGTGTTTCTCTTTCCTAAGTAAACCACGACCTTTACTGATGTAGGGGGGGGGCATGGAAGCAATCTGCTTGTATAATTGCCTGTCAGAAGGGAGCCTGCTACTGCTCGGGGAAAACACAGCATATCTTTTCCTAATCTACAAAGGACAGGAGCAAAGTATGCAAGGATTGTGTAAAAAAAAGACAGTATGTAAATTGTGAGTATAAATTGTATATTTAAATTTCTCTTTGAGTGCAAAAAATACAGGTGAGGCTCAGAATGAAGAATTTCTGCAAGTTAAAGTTGCCTGATTGTTGCTTAGTTAAATCCTTCCTTGTAGGTGTGCATGGAGGGGGAGGATCATGTGGCACTGCAGCCTGTGCCTCAGTAATTGTTCTTTCCTTAAATAGCTGCTGTCATAGTTACTGCATGCCTGTGGGCAGGTTGTTGGAATACGGTGGCACCTGAACACTTTTAAAAAGTCCTGAAGGAGCTGTAAAGTTGAAGTTCACTTCTCACCTGTTTCTCATTTTCGTCTTCCAGCCGCAACCGCTCCTCGATGCAATTGCGAGCCTGCAGAAAGACCTTTCTCTGAGTGCGCTCGGTGAGAACTCTCACAAACACCCCCGAAAGGTTGACACTGGTGAAAAGCACCGCGTTGGCCACCAGCTGCACAGACAAGAGCAGACATGCATATCAAAGCTGCACACATCTGCATATGGGAGCTTCTACATGCAGTCAGCAGTCCTCACTAAAACCATTTGAGTGGACTGCGAGCATAGTTATAGCATTGAAAACCAAGAATTTGTAGGTAACGGGAAGAAAGGCAAAATGTGCTGTATTACTTATCAATACCTAATGTGTTAGATTTGAGTGATTAAAGAGACAGACTTAAAAAGAAAATAATAAGAATCATACAGGTGCAACTCAATAAATCTGATTGTCTTGGACAATTTAGGGTTCAGCGATTCTCTTCAAAAAGTATAACATATTTCAACGATTATGGTTTGTGATAACCTTCTCACAAAATTTCTTGTAGACATTTTCTATGACCTACATGCTAAAGACAGGCTTATTATAAGAGGTTTATTAGTGTTGGAAAACTGTTGAACAATATCCCCTTATAATTGTTATGAAGTGTGGCTGCTCGGAATGTAAATATACAGAGAGTTTCATACTGTACTGTCATTATTCATTATTACATGAGGGAGAAATTTAAAGGCTTAAGCTTTTATTAAAATCATCTCTATTTTAAGTAGACGTGCTGGGAACAATCTGTACTATAGCAACACAAATGCACTGAAGAACATGATTAGTCCTTTCTGAATGCATTTATAGATCAGGAAAAAAAATAATTTTTCTTATCAGGCTGAGATCATGTTTTAATCATCTGCTTAGTTTCTTGAAGATTACAATTAAGGTTAAACAATCAAGACTATAGAGTTTGATTGGACATAATTAGTGAGCCCCTAGCAAATTTGATGTTCGCAAAACATTTTCATGTTAACTATCCTAGGTATCTTATTAGATATCAGAAACTTAGTTTACATTAGAAAGTTAAAAAATTGTTTTGTTTTTTGTAGAGAAGTTATGCATATGCTACAGTATAAACAATTTTGGGGAGGATTGTTCATTGCAGTTTTCAAGATGATTGGAAAGAACATGTGGAACAGATAGAGACTCTAAAGGGAGTGGAAAGACAGTAGATAACCAAAGTCTGAGGCAAAGCCTATTGAAAGGTTTGAGTGAGATTAATTGGGCTTAGGCTGTGCTGGGAACCAGTGCCCCAAGAGCCACCACAAACAGATGTACCCAGAAAGTCGACTAAAATTGTTGCATTCCTTTTTTCAACCACAGCATTTCTCGTTTTTACCAGGCTAAGGAAAAAAAGGGTTGGGTTGTTGTTCAGTGATTCAGTCGTCTTCTCAGATGAAAAAAACTATTGCATTTATTTAATTTGGAAAAGATTATTCTGGTCTAGAGGAACAGTTTGGCAAAGTTTTTTTTAGGTCCAGTGTGAAATGTACACAGTCCCTGATTATTTGGAACGCCGTGTCATTTAATTCAAAGCTAGGGTTTCCAAGAAAATGTAAAAAAAATCTCAGACTTCCTTCTACTAATAGCTTTATGATTATCCTGACTTGTTTTACCACAAAACCTTTCATAGACTACCAAAAGTACCAACAACTGCTTTAATGACCATGGTATCAATGATTCTCATAGACTACTAGAACCTAAACCCCATAGAAAACAGCAAATGATCAAGAGGAAGAAGACAGACAACAGGCAGTAGAACGCAAAAGTGCTGAAAACACAAAAAAGCTACCTGTGTTTTGCTAACACTACAGAAAAGCCACAGGCTGATCACTTTAATGCAAACATTAATTCAAAGGGTGTAACAAAGATTTGCATGTAGGCTATTGTACAGTAAACAGATAGATGTCAATGGATTACATAACATTTTTTCTGATCAATTGTTCCTTGAGTTGTTTATAGTTATAATTAGCAATCATCTAGATTAACAGTAACAACACTTGATGTGAGTCGATGTTTGTAATGGATCTATATAACATGGTTCTCTACTGATAAAAAAGTATTCAATTTTGTTCCAGTGATGATGATCTACTTGTAGCTGAAATATTTAAACTGCTGATGGTCCTATGAAACCATTAAGTATATTTTGAGATACCAACACATATGCGTTTTGAATCTCAAAAATCTAACTCAACACATATGTTCTGATTCCTGATTCAGCACCGACAGCCGGACAGCTCCTAATCTGCTTCAGCTGCTGCGGAAACACGCGGCACATCTTTACCGTCCTGGGGCTGAAATCAATGCACATGGTTTTATTAACCTTTGCCTTTCCAAAAAAGAGTTGGATGCGTAAACCGCCTTTCTCTCAACTACCGATGGAAGCAAAGCTTATGCCTTCCACAGCTTAGAGACTTTGAGTGGTAATAAAGCATTTGATGTGCAGTTATTTAGAAAAAGTTAGTGTAAGGGTGCTGCACTCACCGGTCTCCACGGTTTCTGCCTCTTCCCGGCCACGGAGGTCGCAATTACAATGAAGTGGGCTGTAGCCAGCATCACCCCAAACAACACGGCCAGCAGCGTCCGCACAGGCAGCAGCACGTAAGCCACCAGAGTGACCAGCATGAGCTGCCATACACCCTGCTCCGGGGCTGCGGCGCTCACCGCGTCCGCCGTGCCTAACGCAAGTGGGAACGGACAGCAGAGCAGCGCAAAGGTGAAGCTGAACAGCAGGGCAAGCTTGGCGATCTGCTGCAGCTGCGTCACCTGCAGGTACTTGACGTTGGTGACGATGAAGAGCGACAGGAACACCACGCAGTGCACCGGGTAGGAGCCCTTTGACAAGGTGAGCCGCTGGCTGGACAGCAGCTCCACCAGAGACAGCGACGACGCGGCCACGATGAGCACCGCCAGAGCCTTGAGGGTAGCGGTCTGCTCCAGCTTCAGGTTGTAGGTCTGGAAGAGAGTTTCCAGCTCCTGGCTTTTGAATTCATCCTCGCACTCGATGGATCCCAGTGGTGTGCCGGGCGGGCAGCGACCTTTCCTCCGCCGCGTCTTAACTCTTTCGAACGGCATCTCCTCCATGGTGCTGCCATTCATGAAGCTGAGGTGGGAAGGAGGAGGGATGAGGACTGGCACACGACCCCTCAACTTTTAGGTTGCTCTCCTCCTCTGGTGTATGAACCCGGCATCCTCTCCCGGACCATGGATGATGGATGTCGGGCTTCAAATCAGAAAAGGAGAGGTGGCGATGGCGCACCGCGCGCGCTCTATCCACAGGTTGGTTGTTGTTGGTGTGCAGCCCGACCACTGTGCCGCGCGCTACTTCCCTCTTTCTCTCTTTCTCCCTCTCTCTCTCTGTATCTTGGTGTGCGCAGACCACCTGCTTTGCCTCAGATGGGATTCACCTGCGTTCCTAAATCGGTCTTAATTGGAAAAACAAAATACCTCACCAAAAACTCTCAAAAACATATCCTAAAAACACACCTCTTTTATCATCCTTGACTTTCTCTCAAGCTGTGTATCAGAGTCAATGTTGATGTTTGATTTGTTTCAATGAAGGGTCACTGGATGGAAGAAGACAGCAGCAAGCGCTGGTGATTTCCCCTCTCAGCGTCTGCAGTCATAGCTGATGTAGTCCCCGGCTAAAAATAGACCAGCTGCACCGGTGGATGGTCCAATATAGCAATAATTTGGTCTTTCCCTCATCTCTCTAACCCCTCCTCCCCCCAACAAACTCAGACATTTCACTGCAGAGTCAAGCGTGCATAGCGCGTAAAGAATTAACGGAAATAAACCCAGCGGAGGTCGTGCTCGGAGGGAGGTTAAAAAAGCAGCGCAAGTATGAATGATGACGTGCATCCTAAAATGTGCAGCTCCGTTGTTATGGTGGAGGGCACAGTTTGCATATGTGAAATTATGCAAGCCTGCTGTTTATATTGCAAAAGTGTGCATTTTTGGAATATAATCTACAGCCAAAATATATAAATACATGCACATACAAATATATAATCCGATTTAAAACGCTTGAATTATGTTCAGTTACGGTGGGTACAATAATACTTTCTGCTCCAGCTGCAACTTTTTTGGGGTATGTGGCTATCAGGTTTGTGCAAATTCAACTTAAATTTGTAGTTCTCTAAAAAAATATCACAACAGCAGTAAAATTAGAGAGAGAGCATATATAAGAATGTTTTGCCGCAAAAGTACATTTGATCTATAGGTCTATACTGTATTAGCACTCTGTTCTGGTATGTTTAGGGTTGTAGCCTTTTCTTGCAGAAGGTGAATACAGATTAGGAGGCATTTGGATTGTTGAAATGTGTTCTGTATGTGTTTGTTATTGTATTTGGTACCAAGAAAATGCAGAAACTATTTGGAGGTAAAAGTTTGAGTAAATTGTGAGGATTTTAATAACTGTTAGTTAGAGTCCATTGGGGATCCCAATGCATAATTCATTTGTATTGCATCTTTATGGAAACTGATGTTTCATCAAAAAGTTGTCATAGTTAATAATATAACCATGATTGTCAATTAATTTAGAGATGGTTGTGATTAGTGTTGCATCGATACCGATAGTATCGGGCGGGGGCCCTGAGCACTAAAATGGTGGTATCGGTATCAGCGAGTACCAACAAATAGGGCACTGTTAACATTTTGAGAGCCTTTTTTATTCAACTATTGTCACCCATTCCAGGTAGGCAATAAAAAGTTCTACTGAATTCACTTTTAGTCTTTTTCCTGCTTCACAAAGGTAGACAGCAGCGTGCCAAAGCCATGATGGCAATTATTTTCATCCAAGTAGTATACAGTTCTTCATATATTAACACACACATCAATTTCAAAAAGATGGTATCTGTGTCGTTCAATACTGCACAGCCAGGTATCGGGGCCAAAAAATGGCATCAGCGCAACACTAGTTGTGATACCTTTATTTATCCATGCTGGCTCATAAATGGACCATTTCCGTTTTGTAACATATTTGTATTTCAATATTATGGATGTGTTTGGTGAAGAGTTATGAGTATGGCAGAGTTTCCAAGGGTTGTAACTCAGGTTGTGTTTACGCATGACGTAGGTGAACACCTCTCTGAAGTGTACAGGCTATTTATTACTGGCCATCTAGGGCTGGGATGTAATTTTACGACTAGTGGTGTCCCATTTTTTAGGGAGAAAATCTTTACTTGCACTTCCGTCATTGAGTGTACATCATGTTCTACTCACCCATATAAGTTTTGTGTCATTTGGAGCTGTTCTTTGGAACTGTTCACAGTTCTAATTCCCTTAATATGTCTTACAAACATTAAGGAAGATCTGTTGGTGACTATTTGGAGATGTTTTTTAACTGCTTTGAGTATATTTTTTTCTTACCTAAATATTCTTTTTCTCAATAACTGGATGGTATTTTTTTACTCTCTGAAAGGTTTCACTTTTTCTTCTGTACAGCCTAACTTCTAAAATCTGTTTTTTTCCCTATATATTCCTTAATATTCTGTGTACAATTTTATGTCTTCTTCTTTTTGCCACTGTTTTACCCAAATTTACCAACTCTGACAAAATGCAGTTCTTACCTAAAAGTTATAGTAGCAAAATGCTTTATTTTTGGCATTTAACAAAGCTCTATATTAGAACTCTGCTGCCACAGTTTCATGATTTGATCAGATTTCACCCCTAAATTTGAAAAAATGTTTTTTTTTATGAGCTAGAAACAGAGAATCAAAGCCACTGATAGTCATCCATCTCCTAATGTCAACCAGTCAGTCAGACAAAGGTTAGATGTGGTAATCACCAAAGGGCTTTAATGGAAAATGACCCAGGAAGGAATTCTCATAAAATGAAACAAAAGGTAGTGTTTCCATAAAATAGAGCAGATTAACGCTTGGAATCTCAGAGAAATAACATTTATCATTAGAAAAACAGATCATTAAGCATGAATATTCATCCAACTTTCTTGTAGGGACAGTTGAAAAAATAGGTCCTTCAGTAGCTTTTGCTTTGTAAACATGCCATAACATGATAGTAAAACCCTCCAATAGCACATCCTTTTGTAAAAATGTCTTTCACCATCAGATCAGACAGAAAGACGATGAAAGGTTTTAGAAATCTATGAACCACTCATCCTTAGAAGACAAATGTAGTAGTTTCGATTGCCATGCTATTGACCTTGTTTACCTTTGGACATGTGCCTCAGATTGCTTGGATGTCTGAAGAAATCAATGAGCTGCCTCGTCGATGCTTCAAGTCAGTCAATGCCCGCCACTCTGCAACTGTTGTAATGAAACATCTCTTCATGGGCACACTCAATTACTGCAGTCAATGTTTAATATTTTCCCCTTTATCTTCAATCATTACAAAGCAGACTTGAAAATCAGTAGATCAGACATTAATTGATTATTATTATCAATGCTCTCATTGTTGCTACTAAAGGAGGCTTTTTTGTAAAAAGATTTAGGTGTAAAAGTTGTGACATGCACATTAAAAGTAAAAAGAAAAAGCCTGATTTGAGAAGCACCAAAAACCCTAAATGGAAAATGAAGCCGGAGGCAAATAACAATCAATCAAATAATTTAGATGTTCTGCAGATAGAAATTAGGCTGCGAAATGTGTCACGTAAACACAAACAGGGAACACGTAAAAAACACAGTATAGCTTCTATCAAATCAAACTTCTATGAAGTAAAATTGTGCACTTAGAAGGCAACACTGATTGACAATCAATTTCACATGCTGTTGTGCAAATGGAACAGACAGGTGGAAATTATTGGCAATTAGCAGGACAACCTCTATAGAGAAGTTGTTCTGCAGGTGGGGACCGTAGACCACTTCTCAGTAGCTATGCTGTCTGGCTGATGTTTTGGTCAATTTTTAATGTTGATGGTGCTTTTACACTTGTGGTAGCATGAGACTTAAAAACACACAAGCTGCTCAGGTAGTGCAGTTCATCCAGGATGGCACATCGATGCAAGTTGTGGCAAGAAGCTTTGCTGTGTCTGTTAGCATAGTGTCCAGAGGCTGGAGGAATTATCAGGAAACAGGACAGTAAACCAGGAGTTTACTACTGTGTATATAGTATATAACTATGCACTATATTTTGCATAGTCTTTTGTATGTTTTATACTGCATACAGTTTTAGATTCTGTATTTTATATATATATATATATATATATATATATATATATATATATATATATATATATATATATATATATATATATATATATATATATATATATATATATATATATATATATATATATATATATATATATACATATATATATATATTGTCTGCACCAGCAACACCAAGTCAAATTCCTTGTAAGTGCAATCATACTTTTTTATTAAACTTAATTCTGAATCTGAAATCCAGGCCTCCATTGGTTAATAATTTGGATCTGCATTGATGATTTCTGCGTGATTTTGTTGTCAGCACATTCAACTTTGTATGGAACAAAGTATTCAATGAGAATATTTCAGTCATTCGGATCTAGGAAATGTTTTTTGAGTGTTTCATTAATATTTTTGAGCTAGTACTTTACACCACCCATTACCTGCAATACATGAGGCAAGTTTCTGTTCTAGTTTCAGATTGCCTTAGTCTCTGTCTCTACAAAAGTGACAGATGCAGATTTTTTTCTTTAACAATCCACCCTTCAGAATGCCTGACAATCCCCCCATTTCCATGGCAACAGAGGCAGTAAGTTAGTGAGGCAGTAAGTAAGTGGCTGATGCGCTGCTGGGGTGATCCCTAATCTGACAGGCAAGCTCTCATCTCTGTTGGTTGTTCTGCCCTCCCTTCCATCTTATATTAATGACTTTCCTTCAGGTGGATTTGTTTTGGTGTTTTTTTTTTTTTTTCAGGTACCACAGTAAATCGAGCACCCTGTACAGCACGGGTGCCATATATTGCTCACTGACATTTTCTCCAAATTGAGGCTCTGACGTGAATGATGGAAAATAAAGGTGACACTTTGGTGACCACACCACATAAAAGTCGCACCTTCACTGCCAGGCATCAGGCAGGGTGTTGACAAACAATCCTTAAATTCACACAACTGGCTTGGACTTGCTTCTCCATTCAGTGGCAGTTCATACAACATTTTTTACATAGCTCTTGATATTTTTCACTATACCAGCAAATCAAGTAGTAAAACACGAAAAATGATCTAAAATCCCATGTAAGATTAATGTTTTCTATTAAACTATAAGCATGTCAAAATCATTTCGTGATTATGCTGCACAAAAAGCAAGTTGTATTACACATCATGCTTGAGTCGATTAGGATGCTACAAATCTGACCTAAACCTTTCATTCAATAATTGAGGCTGAGGCTCCATGTGAAGGTGTATACCTGGGTTCCTTTGAGCTTTCACAATTTTCTGAAAATCGTTGCAAAGATATGAGATGATGAAATC